AATAAAAAAAAGTTTTGAATTTCTAATAGTGGGGTACCTTTTCTAGTTTTCTAAGACTAGTCAATAGGAAAGTCCTATGGCTAGACCTAGGCTACTAAAGAAATTTCTAGACCTCAACCAAAAGTGAGGTCAACAGGGGGAAAAACCACGGAGCTTAGCCCAATTGAAATAATTCATTATGAATGATGAGTACACAGGTTCATTCTTCTCCTTAATCAGGGAAGATGGAATTACAAAGCTGTATAATCTGACTGCAGCATGTTGCAATGATTATTGTTAATTGTTGTGTTGGTAGTAGTCTGTCACGAGTGTTGTAGATGGTTGCTCCAGAAGCGTTGATTGGTCAGTGAAAGCGTAGTAAGAAGTTGCGGGAACGGTGGACCACATAGGTCGTAGTGGCAAATATGAATGACATTCGTAGGCCACAGGGCCCGGATCGGGAGCCGCACGAGCTGTGAACCATGTAGGCTGTTGGGGAGAGTATGAATGACGTCCATAAGCTGCTGGGCGGAAGTTGGGAGCTGCACAAGCTGTGAACCATGTAGGTTATTGGGGCGAGTATGAATGATGTTCGTAGGCCACAATGGCCGGAGTTAGGAGCTGTACAAGCTATCTATAGGCCGTGAGAGCCGGAGTCGGGAGCTGTATGAGATGATGACCATGTAGGTCGTTGTTGACACGTGAACCGTAGTGATGAGCTCTTGTCCCACAAACGGAAAAGGGTTACTAGATTTTTCAAGTTATAACATTGACTGACAGAGTCCGATTGGTGGTGGTTGATGACGGTCGACAATGGTGGTCGATGGTGACGGTCAACAGTGGTTGACCGTGATCAACAGGTGTCGACGACAGCTGACGGTGGTCGATGGTGATCAGTTATGACCAACGACGATCGGGATTGTGCTGGACTTCAGCTCCTTCTCAGAGCTTTATGTTCTCTTTTAAGCTTCAATTCTCCCTCTCATGTGAGGGGTGAGGGTCTATTTATAGTGTTCTGGTTGTCATTAATGCATGAATATGAATCATTTTGATCGGACGGTTGGGAAAACTTCCTCTGATCAAATAATGTTTAATGGACATTTGAGTTCTTTAAAGATGTTAGAATTGCACAATCTTAGGCTCGTTGGATTCTTCTTGTCGAGACGCTCGATTCGACTATAATTTTGTCAGATTCAACAATTGTTTGATCTTCCAAATATGTCTAAAAATCTTTCAAGAATGGTTTAATGACTTGATCTGAGCTTGATTTTACTTGGATTGAAACAACTTTGATATCATTATGTCTGTCTCATCGAGTCTGTCAATTTGACTATAAATTTGCTGAAATCAGAGCTTTGGATGAGTTTTTGTCGAGGTTTGAACATCCTTTATTCAAAATATTATCTCTAGATTCATGTCATGCTTTGAGATTCGTGTTGGATAATGAAAATTTGTAGCAGACATGTGTGTATTTATGAATGTTTAAGCCTATAATATATTCAAATTGTTGGGTTTTTTTTACAATTTAATTATTTCCATTCCATTTTTCTTTATTTTAGCAAATTCTTGAATCACTCTTTTTTTTTTCTTTTTTTGTAGCCATTTTAAATTCAATTTCGGGCTATGTTTTTATATTTGCTATTTCACTTGTCAAAATATCCTGCGCCACCGACCGTTGCATGGAAACTACGTTAACTGACAACGATTCTGAATATTCAAATAACTAGTAAGATATATAATATAAAGAGTATATATTTTCTCTCGCAAATAATGAAAATCATTGTCCGAGTTAAATTCACGTAATATTTGCATGTTTGGCCTATATATTTATTATTACAAATTACTACGTATTAGGTTATTTATTAAAAATATTCCTTGTATTTAATATTATAATAATGGAAGATCTACGTACATGCCATTCAATTCTTATGCATATATATATATATATATATAATATATATATATATATATGTTGTGTGCCGAAAAATTTGTCGCGGTAAAATAATTGATAATTTAACGTTGCATGAAGATCCAATACATACCAAAAAAAAAAAAAAGTAGTAGAAAGATACACGAGTATTTTTTACATGGAAAAACTCAAATGGAGAAAAATCACGAGGCTAGCCCAATCAAAGCAATTCACTATAAGTGTGCAAATACAAAAGTATATTCTTTTCTCATAATTGGGAGACGGGGTTACTGTTTTACACCAAATACAGTACTTGTCGATATGCACATAAAGAATTACATGTGCTAGGAACAATTGTCGTATTTTAACAATGATGGTCATAAGAAGTGATTGTTGGTAGCCGGAGGTCAGTGGTGGCATATGTGGAAAATGGTCGGTAGTTATAGATGTCAGAAGTTATCATTGAATCTTCAATATGGGTGTATTACTTTACAATCATATATTTGATCTTGTGTTTATAAGCTGCATGGGTCACCAGTGATGGGAGGTCAACGGCAGCAAGTACGGACAACTGGCAATAACTGACAACGGTCGGCAGCTATGGAGATAAGAAGTTATTGTCATGTCCTTGGTCTAGAATATATCTGAAAGTTTTCTTTTTCTCTTCTTAAAGTGAATAGAGAGGGTAGCCTCTGGGGTAGGGACATTTTGATTTTTTGGCTAATAACATCTTCAATCACCTGATCGAACGACCCTATATTGATATGTCCACCATGATTACAGGGTTTTTTAACAGTTTAAGTGTCTTAATGACCTTGAACTGAAGTGATCTTGGGCTCGTTGGATCTATTTATTGAGACACTTGAATTGATTAAAAATATAACAAATTTGAAGTTCATTTGACCATTAAATTGACGATAGAAAGCTTCCAAATGTAATTTAATGGCTTAATGTAGGATTGACTAAACTCAGATTGACCCAACTTTCTGTATCATTTGGTTCATCTTGTCAGTCAGTTTGACTACAAACTTATTGAAATCAGAACTTTGAATGATTGTTAATTAAAATTTAAAACATTTATTGCTAAAAAAAAATACACTGAGATTTGTGTTGGATGAAAAGAAATTCTCGATGACGTATCAATATCTAGCACACACACACACAACTATATATATATATATATAGATACACACACACACATACACATGCATATACATATATATATATATTATGTGTGTGTGTGTGTGTGTATATACACACCACCTTATCTTTGCCTTCCTCTTTTTAAAATTTAGAATAAGGACATTTTGTTGTGGTATGAAAGATTTGGGAGGTGTAAATTTAAAAGGCAAACTCTAGGTTTTAGAAATGTAAATACATAAGAATTGTTATGTTAATGCCCCTAAATTAAAACATAGGAAAAACAGATAGATTTGCATGATCACAATGTCTATGTTTGCGCAAATCAATAAATTAGTGCTATATACCCATCTAGCCAGTGTTTGCAATAACTAAATTCTCAATCTAATTAGTTATATCGCTTCAACACATTTTAAGAGCATAAGAATCATTCAAATTGTCATCCTACATCATTTTTTTGAATGTTCTGAGTAGAGATACGTTGAAAGTAGCATGTGAAGAGCACTTGAATATAAAACTAATAATAAAGCCTCCGAATTAAATGCAAGTTGTCTAATTAACAAATTACTAGAAAAGAAGACATTATAAATCAATGTGAGATTTGTGTAGATGAACACTATTCTCAATGCATAGTTTTTGTTTTCTTAGATTAGATCCCCACAGCTCTCCTATAGAGATAAAGAATAGTATTATTAAGTTGCATATTTAATGGTATCAACATATAATTAATTAAGAGTGATGAGTACTAATATATATGTTTTTCAATTAATTAATACCACATTTGATTTGTTTCTATATTCTAACATCTATTCCATGCACACACATTCTTGATTGCAAATAAATCATCATTAGCATCATATCATCATCATTAGCAATTATCATAACTATTAAATATCTTATTTACAAAACCTTAACAACATTTTTGAAAACAATGTGTTTAAACAATGATTGAGTATTATACTTTTTCTATCTTCTGCAATTTATGTGTGTAAATATGCAATGTGTTTTATGAGATATTATTATGTTTGTACGGGAACTATAAATATGGACAGTGTTAGATGTATGGGGAGGCCACATCATGTATACATGACCTCCCCATTTATCATTATATTGTCATCCTGACGTTTGCACTTAAGAATTTTTAGGGTTGTGCACTCATTTATGAGAAATACGCTTCATGCATCCAGAGAGGGTGAGAAAGAGAGAGAGAGAGAATTACCTTCCATAGATGCGCTACAACAACCTCAAATGAAGAGCAAGAACCACCATCAAACTTACTTCCACCAGCTACCTCTCTCTTGAGTTTTTCCACCATAGTACCACTCAGACTAAAAGTTTTAAGAACAAACTCTTCCTGTTGAGCACTTGAAGTACTCCTATTATAAGGATCCACTGGTGATTTTAAGGAGCTTGAAGTCTGCATAATGAGTTGGTGTAAATGATCAAATGCTATCACCCTCGTCGTCATAATGTTGCCTTGAGTTTCAGCTTGCAGCTTCTTCTCTTTTCCATGTCCCTTGCTGGCTACAAGAAGTCTTCCTCTCTCATGAACTGGTTTAAACCATGAGAACTCTAACTCCTCTTTTGATGCTCTTCCAGCTGTATTATGAGCCCATGCTTTAATGAAGTTGAAATTTGCCGCCCCATCAAATATAGAATGGCTTGTTCCGATTCCCACTGAATACCCTCCACAACCAAATTTAGTCACCTGGTTGAAGAGATAGAAACATATTTAGCTTTGAGAGAGAGAGAGAGAGAGGTGAAATAAATGTGAAATTGCTTGATATGCATGCATGTGGTTTATTTAGGAAACAAGTTTGGTTGTCGTACTGCATACTATATTTTAAAATATTTATTTACTTGATATAATATTATGTATGAATATAGTGATATAGTTAAGAGTAACATACAATAATGGATGGTCTAATATGTAATTCTATGTGTTTTTGGGACTGTCATAGTAATCTCATAATAAGCTCCAAGCTAAGAAGAGAGAGAGAGAAAGAGAGAGAGAGAGAGAGAGAGATAAACTAGCTATGAAACTAGACAAGTGATTTTATTTGCCAACAAAGAATTATTGTTAAGAAATTTCTATCCAGAAAAATAGAAAGACATAAATCTTAATAAAAAATAATGGATATACATAATTTGAAATTCCTTATAGCAATCTTTATTAGGAACTCATTATAGAAAATTTCAAACCTAATTAAGTTAAAACAAAAATACTCCAAGTAATCACCATTAGAAATTCCTCAAAAAATTTTCAAATCATCATAAAAGCTAGTTAATTTGTGATGATCTCATGCAACAATCACCAAGATAAATATACACATGTTGCTTTGGAATTCCTCATAAAAGTCTCTATAACAAGTAATTCCCTCAGAGAATAAGAGAAAGAGTTATAAAATTACTAGCTTGCAAAGTGCTTTTAAAAATAATTTATTTTTACCTGGGCAACAAGAAGAGGCATCTCAGATATATTGGCAGGTGAGAAGGGAGAGCTAACCACCAACCTCTCATAGAATTCATTATATTGAGAAAGGTCACCCAGCTCGGAGATGTGAACTTTAGTGAAAGCTTCAACCAAAAGTGCACCAGAATTATTGTCGCATAAAAGATTAAGCTTTCCATTATCAGGATTAATAATAAATCTCCCAGCAGCTGGAAACCAATCCGACAGACTCTTCTCAAGACCATGCTTTAATAAATTGAATAACATGTTGTGGGGTGGAGATGATTCGTAAAAGAACACCAAGTACATGAGATGTGGGCACTTTCTGTCTAAGTTAGAGAGGAGGATGACTTTCTGTTGAGGAAGAGGAGAGCTTGGATGGACAACCATTGTCCTAGTGATCATAACCTTTTGATTATCAAAGTTGGTATTGGTCTTGTTCTTTTCTTGTTTGGCCATTCAAAGAGAGTGGAAAAAGAGTGGGGAGGTATAAAATTAAGGAGAAAGGGTGAGGTTGAAGAAGATGAGTAAGTTGACAGAGAAGAAGGGGTATATTACTATTTTTAAAATTATGTTTTGTGGTTAAAGGTGTGTATGGAATATCTCTGCAGTATCTTAATTTCTAAAAAATTATTAGGTATGGAGTCCACATGCGTATGGATTTCTTGTACAATCGTGTTGTACACTTTTGTACATACAACACAGTTGTACAAGGAGCCTGCATGCATGCAAACTCTGTACCTAATATTTTTACCCCAATTTGGAGGTACATGTTTGCTAATATTGAATAAAGTAATGTAATTATGAGAAGGGGATTCATAGATGTGCGGATTGAATTTTCTATCTCATTCTCTACCTAAGGTAAGAAAGTAGAAATAGATTAGGAACTTTTGGTACAAAATTAATCAGTGTGACATATTTTTCAGATCAAAATAATTAGATTAATTTAAATAAACTAAAATATAACTTTTTTCTTGTAATTTATGTAATGCAAAGTTTATTTTATAATTTTTATATAAATATATTCTAGCAAGTTAAGTAGAACACATGTCTTCTTATTTTTGGGAAATTTCTCATATATATATTTTTTATCAATTGCATAGTGCAAATTTGTTTATCTAATTTTATCAAATTATAGTGAAACCATCTACATTTTTTTGGGTTATTGGAGAACTAATAAATTTTAAAATAAAAATCCTTTTTTGAAAAATAAGTTGGTATTGAAAGCCTATATATTGGTGTTTGGAATTAAGCTAATTTGAACTTGATGACATTTGATATTAGGAGGCGGTGAGCCTATTTTATAGCAATCAAGAGTTACATATATGATGAAGTTCATGGAGGTTGAGTACATATAAATAGGGATATATATATATATATATATATATTACTCGCATTTCTTTCATAGATTTAATTAATTATGAATATTCAATAGAACTATTTAAACAATAAGTTACAGCATGAATAGTATTCCTAGGGAAGTTGAGATTTGGCCTTGCCCCTACTACTGTTGCACACAAAAAGGTTGCACTCGCTAAATAAATCTATAAAAGAAAGGAAGGATTAGGCTTAACTTTAAGTAGGTGGCTAATCATTTCAAGCAAAAGTTTGTGCAGCCCTCTTCCCACTTTAATTGTCCCGCTAAAGGAAAATGAGATTCATTATTGTTTTTAATGTTGCACAACTCAAAAAAATGAGAATAGGAGAATGGAATAAAATGCAACCTCAATCCCACATAAATACAACCGCAATACTATTCTAATAACATCACAAACTATTACAATACCACTAGAATAATAGGACTATACCACCACAAAATTAACTTAATACCACCAACCATCACAATACCTCCACATTAATATCACTTAAACACTACAAAACCAACACAATATGAATAAAATACAACTTAATCCCACCTCAATACAAGAAAAATACCACCACAATAACACCACAATACAACCACAATTTTATCACAATACAACCACAATATCATCACAATAACATCATAAAATCACTACAATAGGAACAAAATACAACATCAATCACACCTCAATACAACCACAATACCACTTCAATAACGTCACAGACTACTACAATATCACCAAAATATTAGAACAATACCACTACCACTACTAAATCATCGCAATACCTCCACAATCCCACCACAATTTGAACAACATACAACCTCATTCTCACCACAATACAGCCAGAATATCAGTCTAATAACACTACAAACTACTACAATACCACCAGAAAAATAAAACAATCCTACCAAAATAAGATCACAATGTCACCTCAAAATCACCACAATACCAAAAATAATCAACAATAACAGTAAATACCACCAAATGAACATTGCTAACAGAATAATTCTACAATAACACCACAAAATCATCACAAAAAATCTGGAAAAGTAAAATAATACCATTGATTCAGAGTACAAGGAAAATCAAGCAAACAAAAATTAATGTCAACATTTTAAATGCAGCAAAACTCACATCCATTTCAAATTTCTCACTATTATTTTTATATCTCATCTTCAATATTTCTCACTTAACGTGTGGTTCACAAATAACACTGGTTTATCTTCTTAACACTAACTGGAGAACTGCAAGAAAACCTTCCAGCCACCAACAAAACATTTGTTTTTTTTTTTGTGGGAAATGAAATAGTGAGCTCGATTTTGAACTATAAGCCAAATTTTGAACAGTGCGTTTGGATTTTGAACAGTGCACTATATTCTTTCCTAATTTTTGGGCTAGTTGGGGCCGGGTCACACGCCAAAATACACTTTTATCTCTTTTTTACAATGGGTTCACCATTTTACACGTGGTAAAATTTCATTGGAGTCCGAACGCACAATTGTGTTCAGGCTCCTATTGCAATATTTTTTCCTACTCAGCCAACATTGCTCCTAATACAATGGAAATGAGTTGGAAGGTGAGTTAGCCCATTGTCAATTAACTTTAGAGCATTCTGTGATGTAACATAACACACCTTGTGTTGTCCTTTCTTGATTTATAACTAGTGCCAACTTTCACTCTTTAACAACTCATCCTATTTTCCTTAGGTTTCGTTGTCACATAACAACTCACTAAAATGCTAAGAAAATATCATATAATTCAAATTTTAAATAAAAAAACATTATAAATAAAGTCAACATTCAAATTAACATCAATGCCAGCATCATTCTTCACACCAACGCTGACATCCATAATTGCCAAAAAGGCTGACATTAGTCATCATCGATACTTACATTGACATTCTTTTGCTCCAACAAATCTAACTACCAACGTCAATATAAACACTGACTAACGCTCCCATATCACATACAACAATACCAAAATCTATTATAGTCAATAAGATCGACCGACACATAGTTCATTACTAAAAAGATAAAAACTTTAACAACCATCACAAATATGGTAACACGCAACCCACAACACGTATATACAAACGCAATCAAACTATCATCAAGCGCATCACAACTGAATAAAATCATATTCATTTTCAACCAATTATACAAAATCAAATAAAATTGAGTTGATTAAAAAATCAAACTCCAATTATTCCTTATCATCCAAAGAAAAGAAAAGGAAAGTATTATGCTTTGACTTTGGACCTTAAATAATAATGCGATTTACGTGGTTGCATGCATGACACGAAAGCTCAAGGTTGCATTAGGCCGGCATGATTATTACAAGCTAGGAATGCTCTTTGTCTACAGTCCTCCGGTCCCTTTCTTTCCGGGCAACAAAGCCGCCCTTCACTTGCAGCCGTTCCTTTCCAACTTTTTTCTATTCTTTTCAAACTATGCAAAGCCTACTATGGTTTTCTCTATATTTTTATAATACTGAATTTAATGCTGTTGGGGGGAATGTAATTCCCTCTGCACGTACATTATGCATGCAAATCTTTATTTTATTATTATTATTATTTAGGTGGATAAAGGTATATGTGCAAAAATTTCCTTTTTTTTTTTTTTTTTTTTTTTTTTTGTCTTGGATGGCTCCTAATCTATTAGAAGTGCTCAAGTTAATTTTATATTAATGGCAATCATCTCGGATATCTACTCAACAATTACGTAGAAAAGGAGTTAATAGAGGTGTTAGGTATAACTCATATACTACATAAGGGACAGATGCTAGAGTGGAGTGAAATGTGCCAGTGGAGCGGAGCTTGCGAGCGGAACAGAGCTGAAGAATCTATTTAATCAAGGAAGGTTACGGTACAAGGATAATTTTGTAATTACATATAGTACACTAGGGTTATATATATATATATATATATATATATATATAACCCTAGTGTACGATATGTATGTATTTTGTATTTGTAATCCTAAGGGATATGTACTATTTTTCGTGAAACCGAAAAAGCAGCCACCGCTATTTGCTCTCGAAGACGTGGCATCTTGTCAAACCTCATTAAAACTCTGTATTTGATCTTGATTGTTTGGTTTTTGATTCTTACGTTTATTTGCCATAATTTCTCAACAAGAGGTTTAATTGTGAAAGGACTTGAGGCACATTGGTTAAAAGAGAAAGTTATGGTGCTTATGATCATGAATTTGATTCATGATATAATAGTCTTTATTCCAAAATAATAAATACAAAGAGTTTAGTATGTTGCACTTAATTCTATAAGTAAACACTTATTATTTGGCAAGGATTAATCCTTGAGGATACATATATTGGAGCATTCACATGCATGCCACACTATTTATATATATTTTCATATCTCCCTAAACCCTAAATCTTTATAGTTTCATACATGCACAAATCTTTGTCATCACGTAACATAATATCACAGCTGCTAGCCTTTTAAAAGTGAAATACACATTTTTTTTTTTTCATAGATGTTTAATATCAATGAGCTATAAATATAAATATCAAACTATATATAGATGTTAGATATGTAAATCCATAATAATGGTGTGGATGTACTCAATTTTTTTCTAAAATGAATTACTTAGGTATTGTGTTTAGCTTAAGATAAATTTTAAAAACAATATTAAAATTCATCATTAAAGTAGATTTAATCATAATAGTATAGGCAATGGATTGATTGTTGAGGACTCTTCAACCGTTGTGTCAATCCATCTATTTTAATGCTTATAATCCCACTATAGTCACCAATGTAGATTGTATTGACAGATGCATTAGGTGTCTTGATTTCATTTGAGACTAATATTGCAGTCATATGTTATGTTTCAAAGTGGCTATTGGCTCAAATTAGTTTCATAACCAAGATGGACATCCTCCACTATATATATATATATATATATATATATATATAAAACCGAATATATATATAATTTATTTTCTTAAGATTATGCCACATAGGATGATCGTGATTGTTCTTTTCTATCCAATTAAGGCTTTAACAATGCTACATTGAAGAATAATTAGAAGAACTAAATAGAAATCTAATAATGCTAACAATGATTATAGAATTATTGGAGAGTATGAGTATGATCCTCAAACTGTCTTGATGAGAATTTGTTTGTTATTAAGAGCATTAAGGCATCCTTAAATTTGTTGATACTTTATTGAGCTTGCAGAGGATGAGTATGATAATCCTTCAATGAGGTTTTAATTAGTTAGAGGTTTTGTGGTGTTGCTCTCTTTTTGGTTATGCTATGCTTTGGCTTTATATTTATCTTCATATCATTAGCTTTATTTCGGCTTTGAAAAATTTGTCGTTAATCTTATATTTTAAAATCATACTATCAAAAATCTAAATGGTGATAATTTCCTTTTAAGAAGAGAGAAGTCCAAAAAAGAGGCCATTCATTATAGTTATCCATAATTATTGATAATAAATTTAGAGATTAATATGTCACCAAAATATTCGCTTGATTAAGCATGAATCTCGATGCATGTTGAATAAAAACATTCATAATTAAATTCAAGATTATTCAAGCACCAATTTCAACAACTTTATTTCAAACTAAATATCTCAACAATACAAATCTAATGACACTAACAGTGATTCAATCGAAATTCAAATAAGCCAATATCAAGCACTTGAAGTATAATTAAAATTTTGAAGTATTAATTAAAATTTCAAATGATTTTCGAACTTGGCATGCTTATAATCAAATCGAACATCTCAATAAGAAGAATCAAACGAGCACAAAAATTATTCAATTCTGATGTCATTATGCACTAAAATAAAAAAAACTTTATCCATAATTAAGAGAATCAACGCAAACTATATGATGGAGCGCTTTGGGATTCTGGCTGAATTTATCATAATGCTATCCTAAAACTTTATAAATTTGTCCTTATTTTCAACATAAGAAAAAGACAGAAACTAAGAGCAAAGTTCACACACTTGAATGAAGCTTAAAGCTAGCGACCATTGACATTGTCAATCACCTTTAGAGGCTATTACACTCCAACTACTATTTTGTGACTATTATAGCTAGCCTAGTTATCATTCAAGACTATTGTCATCTGATTTTTTGCAACTTCATAGAACTCTTGTAACCACATCTTCTTCACATAGAAAAAAGGTGGGACTTCATAACTTAAAATATAAACCAAATTAGATTAGGTCATGTCCAAGGGTTTTTTCCCTCTAGTATTTTCAATTTAAAATTTCCAATTTTTTCTCTTTGAAAACTTATTTTATATTTATATCAGATCTTCGTGCAATACTAAAACATTAATCTATTAACATTTTATACTTATGCATTCATAACTACATGTATATTTTGTGCTTATATATGCAATCAAAATAATAATAATAATCAACCTACAACCATGGGTGCAAAGTGTGGGCTCTGATGGCCCCTGTCCCCACTAGCTCAGCCCAATTATTTCATGTAATGCTCTTACAGTTACCAAAACAGTCATTAAGCCAACAAGCAGAACCACATACTAAAACAAATTTGCAACCAAATCCTTCTTTGAGAATCCTCAACACCCAATCTCATCCATTCACTGAACACCAATATCAATATTTAAATACAACATCAACCATTGGGCTGAAAAAATATAAAAAAAAATGAAAAACTAACACTCCATGATGAGGTTTGATAGCTTTCTATTCATGCTTCATTCCGGAAAGCCAAAGCCTAATTAGAACAAAAGTCTAAGAAAGCCAATATATCAAGCAAAGAGCTCAGAGCTTTGCAGCCATCCTCTAATGGCTGACTATACAGCAGAGAAATGGGAAACAAATGAAAATTTTTCATAAAACAGTGCTCAAGTAAAAGAGATCAGAGCTTATTTCTCCATCGACGATGAATCCTATGTCATCTCTCTCCTGCAATTCAAGTATCAACAATTAGCTGTCGAGCTGAGACAGTTCATAGTAGAAGGGGATATAAAAAATATAAATTGTTTGTAGATGTTTTGAGTATAATGAACAATCAACAAAAGTGAATATAAAGTAAAACCTCACTTATTCAACATAGAAAGTCATTACATAGATAGAGTGAAATAAAAGAAGACCGAAGTTGGGTCCGATACACAAAGTTCAAATTCATTTTCAACACAATCGAAAGCCGAGACATGAGGGTCAACTTTTTGATATCGCTACATTAGCATTATTTTCGACTAACCGATATGAAACTAAAAACCGACACCGTCACATGTTTAAACATCAACAATAAAGATGGTGGTCTTCGTTGAGAATTGTTCTAAGTTTAGGGTCCAATTTGTAAATAGGACATATAGAATCACTTTAGGGATTTATTTGTATAAAATGTTATAAAGTTCTATATAAGCCCGAATCTGAAATGAATGGAAGAGATTTTCTGAACAATTATTTCCGTTGTGGTTGTTTCTACTAAAACATCTTGCATTTTTTCCTTAATAGAGCCTAAACCACGAGTACCTACGTTATACAATTCATTAACATAGATTTTAACTCAAAAGTGATACGGATTAGTTTGATTAATTTGTACTGTATTATGTAATAAAATAATTATAAATACTTGATAAGCCTAAGAACATGCAATAGTGATTAACTTAAAATGTTCAATAAAAGTTGTAGATAGACTGACATTATCGATCCCTGGACATGTTATATTCAGTTAGTCTCAAAGACAAGATTGAATACAAACAAAAATTTGACATGCAAATGCAATTGTATCAATAAAATAGTTGTTTAGCTATTTAAGGGACATCAATAGCTTCGAAATCAAATATGAAAATAATTAGTTAAATCCATATCTAATTGGTCTTGTAGATTCTGCCTTCTGATTAGACGACGATAAATTAAGAACTTATCTTCACTTTGACAAGCCTTTTTTATGATGGCACAGACTATGTGTTAATCTAATTAATGTTGCATAAATATGCTGGAAACAATCAATTTCAATACACTAGTCATATAGAATGTTTTAGTAAAAGCTATGCATCTACCATGCACAACAACCGAAATGACTTGACAATGTTATCTTTTGCAAAGAAGACCTCTTTTCACGTAAGAGGTAAAAAAGACAAAAAAATATTTGCAAAATGAACTAGCAAATGGATGGAATTTCAGTCATTCTAACGCTTGTTGAACATGAAGTGATAACAAAATTTTGCAAGGGTGGCATAATGTAAGAATTATTCAATAGAAAGAATCAACTAAGTATTAATGCCAAACAGAATAGACTGTTCCATTCATGTAAATTCAGACACAATAAAATGTTTATTGCATGCTGTTGCATAAATGTAAAAACTATTCACGAAAATTGTGGCAAATGAATTACAGAATCAACTTCTTTTAAAGAGCCAATAACATACATAGACACAATTCTTATGTATTTACATATCTTAACACCAAAAGTTCCATATTCACACATTGCACTCTAATCTCCAATATCACATCAAAAAAAACACTGTCAGCACTTCTTAAAAGTGAAAGACACCTTTCCATGCATATGTATGTAAATATAAAAGTTTAGGTGTGACAGGAAAATACATAAGAATTGTGCTACGTATGTAAACTCGCCTAACAATATGATCAGTAAATCTACACAGAAGGAAAAAATAATAATAAGATTGTTAATAAAGAGTTGAGCAAAGGAGAAATAAGATCTCACCGACTTGATCATCTCATTCATTAGATCATCAAAATTGCAACCGTTGGAACCAAACCCACCCTGCATCTTCGAAACCCCAAACAAGTTATCTTCACTAAATGTAAGCCCATTATAAAAATTTGATTTGTCTGTCTTGCCATATTGTGTGTTGAAAGCAGTATCAAAACTGGGCTGGTTCATCAAATTAAAATCAAACTTTTTGTTTAAACTTTGATTTTTCAACCCCTGACTTTCAGCAACATTATTCAGAAGAGTTTGATTTGTAAATGTGGCGTTGGATGAAGAACTAAAAGCTATATTTGTTTCAACTGTACATCTCTGTTTGGAATCATTTGATTTCTGCTCAACACTTTTGAAACTCAAGAATTTTGGATCTGTGATTCCTGAACTGGTTTGGCATTGCACATCTTGTCCAACTAAAGATCTCTGAACTGGCACCACTAAGTTGTCCGAAGAAATATTCGAAGGATTTCCAGGAATCTGCAGGACTGTCGAAGCAAGGGTAGCTCTCGTGTTGCTCGAAGTCAAACTATCATTACTATAGGGGGTTCCGGCCAACAAACTGTCACCACTATACGTGTTCAAAGATGGAGCATTTTGCCATGATTCATTGCGTTTACCGAGATCCAGAAAACGAGCAGATATGACAGGGCTCATCTCATGTCGATTAGCTACACAAGATGGTATGGAAACTGGAGATTGATTACCTTGCAATAACAAAGAATTGTTCGTCGAGCTGATGAAATTGCTGTTAGAGGCATCAGAGAAAGCACCTTGCAAGCGATTATTCGATTCATTTATTCTTTTTGGTTGTTGTTGAAGACGGTCGAGCTCCAATGATCTTGGGATGCCCTCAAACAAATTTTCACATTGGTTTATGGGTACGGATATGTTCTGAAACTTAGAGATATCATTCACAGGATTGTTCGTGTTGTTCTGTGTTCGACCGAGTTGAACCATTCCAAGAGCGACCCTGGGTGGGCCTAATAAGTTTGGGTCCGTTCTATTTGACACTCCAATTGGTTGGAAAGTTGTCAACGCTTGGGATGTCCCGAAATTATTAAATGAACCCATATGCACAAAAGACATATCTCTTCCTCCTAAAGATGAAGCCATGTTAGCTTGCTGGGTGGTCACTGCACTTAGTCTTTTAAGGTAGAGTCTGTATTTCTGCAATAAGAAACATCGAAGTGAGAGATTAGAATATTTTACTGATTGTATACACATGAACTACAAGCATGAATCTCAAAGATAACGAACAGCTAAGAATACGAAGTTTCCCTCCAGAGTAAGCGAATGACCGACAATTCAATGCCAAGCATGAGAATCCATGCCTCTAAACCCAGAATAGGTCAAAGTTCCGGAGATGGTCTCTTACTCAGTAGCGTTAAGATCCACCAAAGGGTAAGGCGCAAATCATCCCGACAGCAAATCTCGTCGAATACTTCAAACAGGCAGCGACAAGATCCCCTCAAGACCTTGTGAGATGCAAGATCTGACCAGGGTAGTAAACCGATCAGACATACAAGACACAGACTCTGTAAAACTGGAGTCAAACAGCAAGTGAACCATGGCTTGCCAAATGAAACGGGTCAACCCATCAGTCATTTGCCCGACCAAAGAGTCCGGTTTAGTTGAACCAAACGGCCAGACCTCTTGTCAAGATGGTCGGCCTTATTTACACCAACTGATTACCTCTCTTGGTAGAGACAGATTTTGGTCGGTCGACCGACACAATCGGTCGCCCGCCGGCCGACAACATTCAAGCTCATAAGTCATTGTAAATCGTTACTTTTATCAACATTATGATAGTCAATAATTCAAATTATAGGTGTTTATTCTACTTAGGTGCGGTTGCCATAACGGTTCCCACCACCCTTAATTGTACTAATTAGATTTATTTGAATAGGCGGTCCTAAGCGGAATAAAAGCAGGCTCTCTCCTCTCCTTTCGAGTGGGGGGAATTTTTGTGTCTTCTTACTCTCTCGCTCTCTCTTGTCTCTTTCAATTCTGACTCTCAGGGTGTGCTCGCAAAAAGGACAAGTTAGGATCCAACATCCCCTGGAGCAAAAATCTTGACAACCACCGTTGGGAAGAAGAGAAAAAAGCTCGACCGTCGCGACCAGCGAGAGAAGAATACTAAAAGTTCATCTATCTAGGCAACACACTGTTGGGCGAACGTGACCCTCCCTGGGAATATGTTGTACGAATGCTTCATCCAAGGATCATCACATTTGCCGCGAAGGTTCATCCACAGCCCGAAACTTTGTTTTAAGTCTGCCGGCTTCTTCCCCCCAAGAATTTCGGCTTTGTTCCACGTTCTCGTCGCTCGGCCCCATCCCAACCTCTTTTGCATCTAGCTACTTCTCAAGTACGGATCTGAAGCAGAACGTAGCCGAAACAAAAAAGGTTAGGGGCCCTCGCTCGAACTCTCACTCTCTTCTGAACTTCTCCCGCGATGAGGAGCAGTTCGAGACAACGAGAGGAGAAACCGTTGTCGCTCATGCTCTACCCCTAGACCACTAGGATCCAAGGATCCAAAAACTTCCTACATTTGGCGGCAACGGTCGAACGGACGTATCGACCTCCCAGGGAAGTGGCCTCACCTCCACCATTCCCGAAAGTCCACTACTACCTCTATCCGCGGGAAGAATTTCTAGTCGGGGGTCTACCTCGACTCGGGGGAAGAAAAAAATCCCTCCCGTAGACACACAACTCAAAGAAAAAAGAATTTAAAGAGGCATGGGTCTCGAAGGTCCTTCGGCGCCCATCGACTGAAGATCACCCCCACTTCTGACCGAGCGACGAACCGGCCAACCTCACCAAATTTTTGCAAAGCCAATGCACATGATGAAAAGGTGAGGAGATAAAAAACTTCCTCCCCTTTATATAGTGGTGAGGATTAATGACTTGAAGTGGGGCCAATCCACAAAAAAACATGCAAAAGACCAACTTAACGATGATAGCTCTGCACATTGAAGGGACGTCTCGACGGTTGATTTCTCGAAAAAGAAAAGAGATGTCATCGCAAACAGGCTTTTAAAGCACCCCTTACCCAGAAAAGGCATTAGTTCAATGAGCCCATTCTCGATACTCGGAAACTGAGCCCAACCAGGTATATCTCAAGCCTTGCCCGATAAACTCAGGGAAATAATGGAGGCCAAACGCTAAATGCGAGCAATCGAAGACCGCAAGACGATCAAAAAGCTAAGCCATCTCTCGGTCAGGACTGTCCCCAAAAAGTCACACGGGTCGGGACGCTCGGGGCATTTTTTCCTGCTCACTAGTGACAAGATCTGCGAGACAGGTACATGGTCCCCCTACATGTCCTAAGTGGACACCCCCTTGGGCAACGACAACATCTGTGCCTGGCGGCTGATGAAGGGATAAAGTCATTGTAAAGAGACCCCGCAATTCTAGGGTAAGTCCCAAGGAGGTCCAGAAAAGCGACCGCATGACATTGTAAAGAGACCCCGCAATTTTGGAAAAATTGATAGCACAACCAATCCCCCTAGATGATGGACGATCAGACACAGTATAGTCGATCAAACTTGACACCTTCCGGTCGCGGGCCGATGTGGAGTCTGTACAGTAGGCTGTCTAGGGGCAGTTCTCTCTTTATTAGCAACAAGATCGACAAAAAGGGAGTGAAAGTTGCCACCAAAAACCATGTTCATCACTCTCTCAGTTAACAACAAGATCCGTGCCAGAAAAAAAGATTGATCGTGATTGAGACCCACTCAAAAAGACGACAGCGCAAACGAAGGAATAAACAAAAGTTAAACCGATCGAAGTATTGTGATTAATCGATTTCTCAGAATCCATGGGTTGGCCCAGGTAAAACAAATTTTTTTTCTTTTTAGGAAAGGCAAAAAGTTTCTTCTAATTATTGCAAGGAAAAAATTACAAATATTCTTGTATAATGCCAACAAGCTTTCAAGTAAAAAAAAAACTGTCGAGTAGCCAATTGGTCTTCGCTATGGCCACCGGGAGATTCGCTCCTACTACCTGAGCCATCACCCTCCTCCGAGACATTAGCAAAATGATTGGGGATCAAGGCATTGAACTCGAATGGGTCAGAAAACTTCGGTTCGACCAAACCATGGGCGTAACATTGGGTAGCATACTTGATCACTAGCCTAAGTTGTTCAGCAAACTCCTCTCAGAGAACGATCGACTCCAATCTCCCTTTAAGTTCGGCGACCTCCTTCTTCAACTGCTCCTCCTTTTGTTTGGCTTGTTGTTGCTTCAACCTGGCAAAGTCTCGGTCGTCGCAAGCCTTCTTGAGATCACTAACAAGGCGGGCAACTTCTTCTTGGGACTTTAACAGGCTCTCCTTGGTTGTCCACAAGGAATTTGCCTTTTTCAGAAAAGCAAGTCCCGAGGAGTGAGAAGCCTAGCTCCCCTCCAGGTGCAATCGAGAGACGCGCTCGAGAAGTTTCTCATAAGAGAGTCCATTGAGCTCCGCCTGAAACGCCAAAGACCAAGTCATTTCTGCCAAGAGAGACGGCATTTGTTGGGTGTCGGTCGACAAGGGAAGCCAGTCTTTCAAAACATCCAAAAAAGTTGAACCGTTCGTCAACACTCTTCCATAGCCATCCTTCACCCCCTTCTGGCAAACGCCAATCAGGGTCCACATGCTTCCTCTCCAACGAACGAAGGGCCAGAACGTCAGCACTCTCCACCGATTTTTTCCCTTCTCGAGGGACGGTTTCCACCTCCGAAGACGGTGAAGATTCAGAACTAGAATAAGAAGAACCCTCTGAAGTGCAACCGACCGAACTAACGAGAGGCTCGACTGCCCTAGCCCTCTCAACCAAAGCCAAGTAAGTGGCATCGAGTCGGATGTTCAACGGAGAAGCGAAGATCGGTTCATCTCGCGCAACGGAGCAAGGACCTTAAGCTGTGTCCCCCCTTTGAGCCTCCTTGGAGCCCATTCTCGCTCCTTCGCCTTGCAATAACCGAATGAGATTGTGCAATTATGGTTAACTCATTGGTCACCATGTCTTGAACGACGATCGTTGTCCCATAAACGGAAGTTATAAATCGCCCGATACTAGGGCGCGCGACATCAAGAGTGGTACCTGTCATTAAGGTCTGACGGAAAGAATCAACCTTCAACTTCCACCATTGCTTTTCCTTTGTTGCTTTCGCTCTAGCGGCCTCGTTCTTTCCAAAACGCTCCAATCGTCTGGGGTCATCTTTCCTTCCATCACTCGATCCACCACCCTTTCCACAGTACACTAAGGGACTAACATTGGACTCTCTTCCAACACCTCCTGGACGTACTCCAGATCAACCGGTAAGGCCCTCGGCTTACTGCTGACCACCTCCCGCGGGCAAGTGACAATCTCCTAGTCACTGGACATAAAGTCAACCAAGAATTTTTTTCGCTAGTCCTCGATCTTATTTTTTATACCGAGCAAATGAAGGTTTCGCCCAAGCGAAAACATGACAAACCCTCTTTGTCAACCTTAAGGAGTAGTGGCTGAAAATGTCGATCATACAAGGGATTCTAAAACGGCAACGAAATATAACGAATTCATGATGGTTGCAACGGGGTTCCGAAGAATTTAGGCTGGAATGACACCGTATTTGGTAAGCACACTCGTGAGCTTCGACCATAGGGGGGCTACCAGAGGTCGTACCTAAATTGATCCTGATAGAACACCAGCTCGGGGCTAACAAGGGTACGTCGAGCGCCCCGCGGCTGGCATCCTGAGAAGGGTAATATGGGTAACCGAAACATAACGCTCCTGAAGGCTCTCCACCTCTCGGTCCGTAAGAAAGGAGGAATCGTTCGCCCACATGGTACCGAAGAGAACCGGAAAAAACTTTGGAGTCATTGCAGTCGAACAAAAAGAACGAAAGATAGAGGAGAAAAGATCAGAAAACTCAGAGAGCATAATGCAAAAATTGAAAAGAGCAATCTCTACTCCTATTTATAGGGCATGCACGCATAATGAAGGGTCTTATAAAGATGAGTAGCACACCACATGTCATTTCAAATTCCTCTAAAATATTATTTTATTACAAATAACATTATTATAGGTTTCAGACAAAGTGTTTAATAAAAGGGTCCTTCGTGGCTTCCGACGGAGCATACCCTTCTTAAGCAACCTCTGGAAAACCATCTCTCCACCAATCCTAATCTGCTCCATTCAGCTAGCCTCGTTATGGAATCGACTCAGAACTGTCGAATCGTGAATGGCTCTCATCACGACACGAACGTCGTTCATGGAACCTTAGAGCGACGCGACTTCCCCCTCCAATCGAACAATAACAACTAACTGTTGTTGAAAGGTGGCCTCCAGACACACATAAGACGCCATCCACTCTGGCGTGGATGGATCGGCAGGGTTTTCAACTGTCTGGTGCAGAACCTCTGCCATCTCCTGCACCCTGCACGCCACCGACCCAGGGGGAGTCTCCGGCATACGGTTTGTTCCTGTTGGGAGCTTCTGCCCTCTTTGATCGACGGAAAATGAGGGGCAATCACATTAAGGGGCCCAGCGGCAATGATAGGAAGCGAGTCGACCACATCTCTCGACGACCCGCCACCTTCGATATCCTCCATCCCGATCGATACATTTGCATTTAAAAGGAATGTCAAGTTACTATGTCATCCAAAGTCCAAAGAAATTCTTTACATACCCATGAGCCTCTCTAGCTCAGACCCAGACATTGGAAGACCTTCCTCTCCCACTAAAGTGACTCCTCTTCTTTCCTCCAGGGGTAGTGGCGAAGGGCCAGCAGCCACCTCCGCTCTCGGGCTACTGCGATCGTCAGCCTCCACCTCCGTGGACAGGGCCAACTGGTCCACTGTAAGCCTGATCTCACTCAGGCCAGGATCCGCTAGTGTCTGGAGAAGCCTCTTCAGCGACCACTTTTCGGGTCCCTTGGAAGAAGCAACCTGATCGGTCGGCTCAGGGTCGTCTGTCTCTCTCCTATTCCCCCTTCTAACCACCTTGCTTTTGAAACAAGATGTAAGGGCGGGGAGCGATATCCTTCCTAGGCTAGTAGGCTTCGGTCGACCATCTTTTTGCTCATATTGCCCGACACGATGCCTACTCACTAGTCCAGAAAAAATCACCAACAAATGAATAGCCCAATTCCTGACCTTATTTATAAGGAACGTAGGGCATGAAAATAAAGGCAAAACTAATTATTAATTTGTTCTTTTTTGCTTGTCGTAACACGATTAACTAATAATTTCCCTATTCCTATGGCAGTTGTCGTCATCAAGTAGCAAGAAAACTCGGAGAACTAACATATATACACCATAAATACCAGGACAAATCTCAAAGGTTACGAATGACTGAGAATACAAAGTTTCCCTCCAGAGTAAGCAATTGAGTGACAATTCAAAGTCAAGCATGAGAATCAGCGTCTCAAAAACCGAAAAAGGTAAAAGCTCGAGAGATAGTCTCCTACTGATTAGCGATGAAACTCGTCAAAGGGTAAGGCGCAAATTGTCCCGGCAGCAAGTCTCATCGAATACTTCGCACAGGCAGCGACAAGATCAACCCAAGACCTTGCAAGAGGGAAGATTCGACCAAGGCAGCAGACTGACCAAAAAGACAAGACACGGGTCATGTAAGACTTGAGCAAAATAGCAAGTGAGCCACGACTCGCTAAACAAAATGGTTCGACCTATCAGTCGACCGCCCGACCAAAGTAACAGGTCTTGCAGAACCAACTGATTGGACCTCTTGTCAAGACGGTCGACCTTATTCACACCAACTGATTCCCCACTCTTGGCAAAGACATATTATGATCGATCGACTGACACGACCGGTCGCTCGCCGGCCGACAGCATTCAAGCTCATAAGTCATTTTAAATAAATCGTTATTTTTGTCAACATTATGAAGGTCATTAATTCAAATTATATGCATTTATTCAATTTATGAGCGGTTGTCATAACAATTTTCACCTCCCTTAATTGTACTAATTAGATCCATTTAAATAGGCGGTCCCAAGAGGAATAAAAGTAAGCTCTCTCCTCCCTTTCCGAGTGGGGGGAATGTTCGTATGTTCTTACTCTCTCGCCTCTTTCAATTCCGACTCTCGGGGCGTGCTCCCAAAAGGACAAGTTAGGATCCAACACTGATATAGAAAATAAGAAAATATTGTAAAGGAAGAACAGAAATGATGACAAGAAACATAAATTAGATGGAAATAAAATCAATTCATAACCAAAATTATCTCACGAGAATAACTTCTGGAAGTTGAGGGGGTAAGCGGCTTCGAATTAGTGAAAAAAAATGGTAAACAACTTCAATGGATGTGAATTAACTCATGGTTGAGGATGAAGTAATACAAAAGGTGTCACAGATTAGTATTATACAATAATGGGAATATATATGATGATATAAATAGTAAAACAAAAACTTGGTTCAATTATATCATGTGTTGTAATGTCATAGGAGAATTATATATATATATATATATATATATATATATATATATATCAAGTTTAAGATTTATTACGAAAAATGTCGACCGCAACTCATGGAAGATTGCACATTGCTACAAGATAGGAATCATGCATCATATGAAAAAATGATTTTGATGTTCTAGGAAAACAATTGGATAATTTAAATTTGATAAACAAATCATGAGGCTAAAAATAGAAAAAAAATGAAAAGTTGTTAACACATGCCTGTAAATGGCTTGCAACATTCTCTCTTGTGAGCTTATCAACATTCATAATATCCAAAATCCTCTTAGGAACAGCCTCTGCATCAAGCATGATAAACATCATTTACATGATAAAAAAGAATATATTTAATAATGAAGAAAACTGTCAAAATAGCCCTTTGACTTTTTTGCAAGGTGGTCATTTGAGTCACAGAGCTATAAAAGTACAAATTTAGTCCATGCACTTTTTTTAGTATGGCCTGAAATAGTCCCCCGGAGAACTATTTCAGCCCCAAGTTAAAAGAGTTTGTGGACTAATTTGATATTTTTATAGAATCTGGGATTAATATGATCCCACGAAAACGATTGGTAGACAATTTTGGCACTTTATTTTAATTTAAGTGAAAATATACTAGCATCATATAGACCTAAAGCAGGAAAAAAAAAAGTTTATCTTGTAATTAATGATGTAAAATCTCTTACTATCAACTCCTAATTGGTTGACAGCAGCAACAAATTTGCGATGAAGCTCAACAGACCAAACAACCCTCGGCTTCTTGTGGCATGACGGGTCTTCGGTTTCATGAGTGCCTTCTTCATAGTCGTCTTCATCCTCAACGTTCGAGTCCTTCCTCTTCTTATTAAATTTTGTGTTAGAATCCATAGGTCTATTTGCATCAAAACCTTTCATAACTTCGGAATTTGCAGCTTGGACCTTCTCATAGTCCTTGCCAATATTAAGACCGGAACGTTCTATCTGATCAAAATTTTTCCTCCTCACAACATGCTGCCAAATATTTTTAAGTTCTTCAATCCGAACGGGTTTGAGTAGATAATCACAAGCCCCATGAGCTATCCCTTTCATGACGGCTTTAGTTTCCCCGTTTGCAGACAGCACTAAATTTAAAAGATTTCTTGGATCAGTGAATTTCTTATGATATCTAAGTTAAATTGAACTCAATTATACTTTTGCTCATTTTCAATCATAAAGCAGCTAAATATGTATAAAATGGCTTACACAACTGGTAATTTTGGCAGAATCTTTCACTTTGTATATGAGTTTTAATTGATTCTAGTTGAAAGTTAACTTCTTGATGTTACCTGATATCAAAATGTTCTTCTATGCAAACCAAAATTATCTCAAAACAGAGATAGAAGCAAGTAAAAAATGAAATTAAAAAAAAAACAGAAAATCTGACTCACTAATTACAGGAAGGTCCATTTCAAGGCCCACCAACTCCAAAAGCTTAAATCCATCCATGTCTGGCATATGAACATCGCTGATAACCAGATCAAACTTGGCTTTATTCTCCCTCAACATGTTTAGGGCCTTGATTGCCTGATTTGTCGTTGTAACTGAAATGAAATAAAGATACAAATTGACAAGCTGATTTTGAAAGAAAAAAATTCAGATACAAAATTTCTCTCCAAAAATCATAAAGATCAGAAACTTGGAATATAAGAAAAAGGACCAAAAAATGATGGAAGCATCAAAGATTCAAATTTTCAGGTAAAAGATAACATAAAACCAAAACTAATCTTCTGAAAAGCAAAAAAATAGTATCCCAACCATTGTATTGGCAGCGAATCAACAGAGTCTCCAACACCTTCAGGCAGATAGGATCATCATCCACAGCAAGCACGCGCATTCCAATGGGGAACTTCTCTCCAGGAACTTCGTCTCCCCCTATGATCCCTATTTTCTCCTCAACGCTCATCTTTAACAATACCTTAAACTAGAAGCTGGAACCAGTTGTAGGGCAGCAAAGGTATGGGCAAACCAAATCCTTGTGGCCCAATTAAAAACTACTGGACCAGATCCTCCAAGCTAACTCCTTTTTCCTCCCATGGATTTGAACTGAAGCAAAAGATCATAGCTTTAAGCAAAATGATTGGGAGAGAAGCCAACTTTCTAAATCCAGATACAGGGCACTAAAGGCAGTGCCTCAAAGAAAAAGAGGAAGACTATGGCAGTAGGGTTTGGAAGGAAACATAATGGGGAGAGAAGGCGATCAGTTAGCAAAGAACAGAGATGGAAAGGGTTTAAGACAAAGGAATCTTTACGGTAAACGGAACGCAACCAAATAGGGAAAGGCTGAAAATAAGCAAGGCTATAGCTCTCTCTGCTTCTCCTCTTATTTCTCCTTTGAAGCTCCTCGCTTTACCGCAGCAATTAATGAGGTAACGAAAGAGGAAGCTTCAGCATTGGGAGCTAAATATTTGAGTTGCCAAAGGAAAATCGGGTCCATGAATTGGTGATAGACTCTTCGTTCAAGGTTTTCCTTGAAGCTAAAAAAAAAAAAATGTTTTTATATTTTTTTGGCATATTTTTTACTAGTCTAGAAAAATGCTAGAATATTTGTGATGATTAAATAAAAAATTATCATTTTAGTATTATATGAAAACTCAACATATACTAAAATAAAAGAAATAATAAGTAGAAATATCTAAAATTTTTACGTGAAAAACTATGAGGTATAGCCAGGCAGAAGAGATTCACTATAAACTGAAGATTATAAGTATGATTCTTTGTCCCACACCCGAAAAAGGGTTACAAAATCTTCCAAGCTACAAAGTCGGCGCACAGATGCACTTGTCGTAAGATGTAAGCGATGGCCGATGCGGATCGGTGAAGGCAGATGAGTCATGTTCGGCGACGATCGACGTCTGGTGATCGGAGACGATCGATGACTGGTGGTCGGCGGTGGCATAAACAATGTTGGACTTCAGCTCATTCTCAAAGCTTCAAGCTCTCTCCCCCCGCCTTGAGAGAGGTGAAGCTCTATTTATAGAGTCCCGGTTGCAATTAATGAATGAAATAATATGAACCACTATGATTAGATGATCTGGAGAGATTTCTTCAATCAGACGATATTTGATGGACCTTTGAATGTTTTAATGACGTCGGAATTAAGTAATATTGGGCTCATTGGATTTATCTTGTCGAGGTGTTTGATTCATATATAAGCTCATCTGGTTTGGTATTTGTTTGACCTTTTAAGTATGCCCGAAAGCTTCTACAAGCAGTTTAATGTCTTGATCGAGACTTGATTTGACTCAAATTGGACAAATTTTGGAATCATTGAGTGTGTCTCATTCATTGATATGTTTGACTATAAGTTTGTTGAAGTCGAACTTCAGGACGAATTTTTATCATATCTTGAACATTTCTTGCTCAGAAAAATGTATCGAGATCTGTGTCATGTCTTGAGTTTCATGTCTGATGTTGGAAATTTATTCATGACATATCAGTCTAACCCAACATCTTAAAATTATTATTATATTCTTAATCAATCACATTTGAGAAAAAAATTACTTGATAATAATCTCTTTTTGGATAATCAATTCAAATTCAATTTAAGATTCATTTTAATTTATTTAATTAAACTCAATTTAATAATATCATATTTATTTATTTTTACTATTTTATATGAAATAAATTACTATACTTGATATATCACCAAAAAAATTTATATGGTAGAATGGATCTCAATGCATCTTGGATAAAAGGCCTTTCAAATTCAAATTTAAAATCTTTTAAGCTTTGAGTTCAACAATTTTATACTTAAATTGAGTATCATGAAAATACAAGCCCAAAGCACTGAAAGTGATACAATTAGAATAAAAATCTTCTTAGATCAAACACTTAAAGTATAGCCAATGGCCTTTGTGCATTCATCGAAAGGTCAATTAGTCTCAAAATTCGGATGCTTATAGTTAGTCTGAACGACTCGACAAAAGGAATCCAACGAGTCCCAAGTCATTTAATTTCAAGTTCATTATGAAGTGTTTTGAGATGTTGACCAATCTTACCAAAATACTCATTTAAAAAAATATAAATAGGCCCACATTCTTTACTTAAAAAGAGAGAGGAAAAAAAAGTGAGCTAACAACTAAAACAGCACATTTGAAAATAACTACAAGACCAATGATTTCTAGAAATCATTGAATTTATAGCCCATTTACGATTGTGATAGCTAATTACGATTGTTATAGCCACGAAATATGACTCTTGTAACTGACTATTGTTGTTGTTGCCACCAATGACAAATGTTGTCACCAACAACAGTTGTTGCAGCCAACTATGATCGTTATAACCATCGAATATAATATTTTTTATCACTACTTCTATATAGTGGTATTTGTCGGAATATTTCAAAGTAATTGTGATTTTAGCATCTTGTTGTTGTCTCATCATCGCTAATTTAACAGAAGAGTGGGCCTCTGTACTTTCACTTTCCTAATGAATTAATTAAAGAGAGCTAGGCTTCGTGAATTTTTTATTTCTAGGATTTTTTCCCTCGGAAGTTTTAGTTGTTTCTTACACTTTTATTTTGTGTTTGCTGAGAAACTATACCAAGCTAATATTTGAGATTTTTCAACCGCAAAAAATTTTCTAACACAATAATATTAGCATGAAAATATGAGAAGATTCATAAGGGGATTTATATGTTAATTTTCTATGTATTTACATATTAAAATTGATCATATTTGATGTTACGTCATCAACAAATTATCTTTTGGCATGAATCTCAATGCGATTGGCACGAACCTCGAAGTATTTTTTAGCAAGAAACATTTAATTTTAAATTAAAAATTATCCAAAACTCAGATTTCAACAAACTTATAGTCAAATTGACTGACTCGACAAGAAAGACCTAATGACACCAAAGTTGGTCAAATTCAAATCATACCAAGCTCAGATCAAGCTCTTAAGCAATTTTTGGAAACTTGTAGTACCTAATTGGATGATCAAAAGGGTTCCCAACAAACATATAGTAAAATTGAGTTTCTTGACAAGATGAATCTAATAAGCCCAAAGTCACTAAATTATGACAACATTAAGGAAATCATATATACGTAAAAGTCATTTGATCGAGGGAATCTCTCTAAGTCATCAGATGGAGTGTTATGTATTTCTTCCTTATTTGCAAGGAGGAAATAGAGCACTACCCCCTTCTTTGAGAGGATACCTGTACATATGCCTGAAGAAGGACCGAAAGAATGAGTTGAAGCCCGGTGTCGTTTCTGTACCAAAAATTTGGCGAATTCTTCTTGCTCTTGCATATGCCGAAAACCGTTGACCACCGCTGGTCGGCCGACATCAAACACTGTTGGATGCCCTCTGCTCATTGCAGTGAGACCCATTGTGGAGTTGTGATGTGCATCACATTATCTCGGTTTACATTACAAAGTAACAAAACACTAGACAATGCAGCAACGCACCCCAACAATAGTGCAGCAACACACCCTAAAGACAGTGCAACGATGTCACCTCGAAGACAGTGCAACAATGCAACCCGAAGATAGTGCGAGAACCCACCTCAAAGACGGTGTAACAACGCCAACCCAAAGACTAAGGCTATAAAAGAAGCTCGTTGTAGTAGCTATTTTCGGCTCCTTCATTAAGTAAAGGAGCCGAACATGAACAATTTTTTAAGCTTGAATTATAAACAATCCGAACACAAACAAATCTTTGTTTGCTCGTGTTTGAATCATTTTAGCTCAAAATAAAGAAATTATATATATATTATTTATATAATAATATAAGTTTAAATCATAACAACATGTGTAGTTCTACGTCTTCTATACCACAGAGTTGGTGCAAGTTTGAATATAACACCCTACATTTATTTTTCCCAATTAATTTTAAGGAGCTAATTTTGAGCCAAATATGAATAAGAATATTTAAATCAAGTTGATCACGAACACACTGTTCACGAGCCAATTTTGAACACAAGCTGATTTCAAACACAAGCAATTTCAAATGATTCAAACACTAGCCAAGCCCGAGCTAGCTCAAGCTAGACTCATTTAAAACTATATCAAAGACAATGCAACAATGCACCTCAAAAATAGTGCTGCAACTAGTGTAGGAACACACCCCGAAGATGGTGTAATGACGTTATCCCGAAAACATTACAACGAAGCACTCCAGAGACGGTGCGAGAACACATCCCTATGATTGTAATGATGCCACCCCAAATACGGAGTAACAACATACCTCGAAGATAATAAAACAATGTGCCTTACGTACAGTGTAACTCCTCACTCTATAGTCTATGTGATCAACTATGATCTATGCGGTACATAGCTGGTGCAGCTCCAACTTTGGCCTCTATGATCTATGGGCATTATTGTAGCTCACCGTTACATCCTACATGATCAATTATGGCCTACTTGATCCATAGCAAACACAGTTTCTAACATTGACTGTTGTGGCATACGGATGTTATTACAACTCACCATTACAGCCTCTATGATCAACTACAGCTTGTGTGACTCATAGCTCAGCAGCTCTCAACTCTAGCCTTTGTGACATACAAATGTTATTGAAACCTCCAACTCCGGCCCTGTGGCCTATGAATGTTATTGTAGCTCATAATTACAGCTTATGTGATGTACAACTCACACAGCTCCAAACTTTATCACATGTGGCATACATGCATTATTGTTGCTCACCACTATGACCTATGAGACTAACTACTGCCTACGTGGCTCACACCTCACACATCTCCTAACCCTGGCCGCAATAACCTACAGACATTATTGTAGCTCCCAACTCCGGCTCATGTAGCTTATAATCGTTATTGTAGCTCAAACACTATGGTCTATGTGACCAACTATGGCCTATGTGGCTCATGTTTTCTATAACTCCCAATTATGTCCTCTATGGCTAACTAATGCTCCTGAAGTAACTATCCATGACATACATGTCTAATCACTGCCACAACTTTAAACGACAATCTCTTCAACCAACTGGCCTAACAGCCACCATCTACAATATCCATGACGGGTTACTACCTTCATAAAGATTAACTGCAAGCCTAGCGGCAAGTTATAACTATTGTTGTTGAATTATAATTATATATCAACTTTGCAACTCAATGTTCCATAATTCTAGAGAACAGTGAACTGTTGTACTAAATTATATAGTGTATTATTTCAACTGGGTTAAGTCTCATAGTTTTTACCTCTTTTCAGAGTGTTTCACGTAAAAATCGTGGTGTCTCCTCGTACTACTTTTCTCTATTATTACCTGAGTGTATGACAGTTTCTCATATTCTTATATAATCCAAATAAAACTATTTTATTCTCAATATTGATGAGTACTATGGACCACTTCCTCATTCCACTACTTAGCAACGGCAGCCGATTTCAATTAGTTCAAGATTCAAAGTGAGTCTTTGGGTTCCAAAGGTATGGATGATGTCAGGCTTCCTTGCTTTAATCCACCAGCTTTCTTAGCTTTTAATGATTAATTTAATGCATTAATGCGTCAGAAACGTGTTTATCACTCTATTAAAGTCTTATAATACTAATTATGATTCGCTAACCAAGTTTAGGTAGGTAATTAGCAACAAAAAGTGCGGGCCACTTAATCGGGCCACTTAATTTTTTTTTTTTTTTGAAAAGAAGAATTTAAAAGCTGTGGGCAGAGGTGCCGTGCGCACAAACGAGGCTTTGCATTGGTTTTCTTCAAATTCCAAAACCTTTGCATCTCAATTAATTTATTCCTTTTGTCCTTCAAACTGTAAAAAGCAGTTTTTGTTGGAGGTTTTTGAAAAGCAATGCTCGCTTGCTTGTATTCATTACTTCTATTTGCTTATTTATGAAGAGATTTACTTAAGTACCTCTTATTTTGCATGCATTTTTATAGTGGCACTGCATCATTTTTTCTAACATTTATTGTAGTAACATGATAATCTAGTGATCTTGAGCTTGTTAGATTTCTCTTATCGACATACTACTTTTTTATGGTAAATATCATATGATCATCCAAGTATTATTATAAAAAAAAGGTTTAATTGTACTTCTAGTGCTTAATTTGAGCTGATTTAAACACTTTTGATGCCATTGGATTAGTTAAATTAAAACATTTATTTTGATTATATATTTAATAAAATTAAAATTTGGATGATTCTAAATTTTATCATGAAATTTTTAATTTCAAATATTGCATTAGGATTCATGGTTAGTTGTATGGATTTTTATGAGAACACCAAAAAAAATGATATTTTCTAGCTAAATTTAAATACAAAAAAATAAAATTCTCAGTTTTAAAAAAGTTTGTATTTATTGAGTTTAAATTTATATTAATTTCTAATTACAAATAAATGATAGGATATAAAATATAATCTCCTCTCAAAAATGTATTTTCTAACATCAAATACCAAAGAGTTTTAGCTCTATTGATGTATACCTCCTTGTATGAAAGACTTGAGTGATATGAATGCAAAGAAGTAAAGGTGTTCGAAATGTAAATACAAAACAATTGGGTGGTATATATGTAAATGACTCTTCAAAAGAATTAGGACCCTCAAGCTTTATTAGAACCTTGGGAATAGAGAAGTTAAATAGATTTAAATAAGCACATAAGGAAAATTAATAAAAGAGTTCAATATTTTAGGAACAAACAAATCCATGAATCAGATGAAAGAACTTGATAAGAAAGTGGCCATTGAATACAAGGATTGAAATGTTTAGCTTTGCATGTAAATACTTATAAAAAGTTCTACTCCCTTCTCAAATTCTCCTCACTATCATGAAGAGTTGAGCAATAAAACCAAATACTACTGATTAGCAGTTCAATATTGCCTTAGTCATGGACAACCAAGCAAACAAACTAAAAAAATCTCTTTAAAAGAAGAATATGTAAAAGGAATGGAGAACCAAACATATACAAATTACTTTTTGGAATTGGATTTTGTGTACAAAAAAACCTCACTTCTGGCACTTCATTTACCATTCACTTAGGCTCGGCAAACCATAAATCCAATCCCAGTGAACAGTTTTATGCAATCAAATAAGCTTCAGAAATCAACTCCAGAACTTTGCAGTGGGAGTAAAAAATTTAACCTGAACTTCTCTAGCTTCTCCTGTCATCAACTCAGCTTAGTTACAGAGAGCCTGCATGCATTCTGGAGGTGATCCCATGGCTTCCAGAAGAGAGGCTAACAGAGCTTGAAAGAATATTTGTGGGGTCAAGGAGATTATAATGGTCACCTCTTACCAAATCTCAGGCATTTATTATGCTTAGCTTCAGCCATGGTTGAGGGAGGTTGATTTCTTTGCTTTGCCTGCAACCTTGTCATGGAGAGCTTCTCCATTGCCATTATGAATTTCCTCAGATGCTTTATGTACTCAGGATAAGTTTCCAGATCGCAGTGGCCGCCTCCTTTGATCCATAAGGGATCGAATTTCTCCTTGGAGAGCTCCCACAGGCGTTTCCCATGCGACCAGTCCACGATATCATCAGCCGTTCCCTATAAAAGATTGATCAAGGATTAGAATCTATCTTTTTGTAGGATGATCAGATTAGCTTTCTTGATGATAAATAATTAGCCGTTATGGAATTTGAAAGTTCTGCGGCACATAATTGGATATTAAGATGCAAGACTGGCGGGTTACCATTGAGAAATATTTAGTTATATGATTCACATATTCATAGATTAATTTACATTGAGGTCCTGTTGGGTATAATGTTTTATTATAATTGAAAACTCGCCCATCCCATCAAGATACTCTTGAGATATCTCAAACACAAAGGGATGGATTATTATTAATTGCTCGTCTTTGATAATACTGACTTGATCTCCCATCAAACAAGCAACACTAGCATAAAGAAAAAAGTTCCAAGTTTTATGAGACATTACATTTGACAAAAACTTGATGACATATAGGAGATTTAAGCACGTAAATGGAGCCACAACCACAAAGAGATTGTGTTTGTTGCTGCTCTTGAATCATTGCTTTGCATTTGATCAGATTAGATGTTCATGCTGTGAGATATAAATTGTGGAAAATTATTCCAGAGATCCGAAGCAAAATTTTGAACAAAAGTGCACAAAGCAAGAAAAGAAACACCAATTTTTTTATGTGAAAAAATCAGATAACGAGAAAAAACACAGAGCCACGCCACACCAAAAATCCACCATGAACAAAAAATGTGGAGAATAGAATAAATTACAACACATTCGACACTTTCACACATTAGACATACTAGGACACTCGTGCTCTACTCCACAAGAGAATATGAAATCTAACACAAAAAGAAAAAAAAAATTACAGAAAAAACTGCTTAAAATGGATTTTCGTTTCCCAAAACTATGGTTAAAGCACTAATGGATACAACGTCAAAGCTATGTACAGAAAAAATATGTAATCATCCAGAAAAAACATCCAGAAAAAATATGTAATCATCCGCCTTGCCACTAAAATTTGTTGGCTTGACGGTTGGCTCCACATGGCCTTGCCACTAAAATTTAATTCATAGATTTGCCAAATAAATTTTAACCTCTTAGAAGTCGTGAAAATAGCAACAAGATAGATAAAAGGTTGAAATCTAACTTTTTGAGGTGCAAGAGAAACCAGAGAATTTGGGAAAAGAAGAAGAATGAAGGTCAGGCAAAAACCATTATGAAAACTAAAATTTCAAACTACTTTGAAAAACGTGTATATTATCAGTAACTTCTGTTACATAAAGTATTAAAATCTAATGGTTGTAAATTAGAAGTGTGAATATTATAAATATTGATAATAGGTAACCTAAAATGAGGAGATCTAATTATATGATCTTTCTACATTGTGAAATCCAATTTGAGGAGATATAATTAAATGATTTTTTTTTTATATTTAAAATATTCCTAATTTGTATATGCTGATCATCTTTTATTTGCATGAGAGATTATGGAGAATTTTGGTGTGTTAAGTTTGTTGAGAATGTGGAGCCCAGTGCACTTCTTTATTGGAAAATCATTAGTGTTAATTATATAATTAATTAACTTCCTAAATAATGATTCCCGTTTTTCTGTGTTTCCCGCCTCTCGTTTTTTCTCTCTCCGCGGAATCGCGGGAAGGATGCTCTCCGCTTGGATCATTTAATGCATTCCCTCTATGTGTTTTTTATGATCATTATAAAAGCGAAAGCTAACTCCTTTAAGAACACCACTTCCATACACTCTCTCCTACGGCTGAAGAAAAGAAGGGGCAGGGTACGAAAAGTTGCTTCTTTGTTTCCCCTTCCTTCACCTTCCTTCAGTTCTTTGGCATAAAAGAAAGTTTGTTTTTTTTTTGTCCTTTCTCAAGTGGCTTTAGAGAGAGGAGAGAGAGAAAGGCAAGGGAGAGAAAAAGAAACTAGAAAGAATTATTTTTTTGTAATCGTCGAATCGACGACGACGTAATTTCCTCGAAGCTAATAAAATCCTCTGCAGCTCCGTGGACGTAGGCAATTTGCCGAACCACGTAAATCTTGTGTTGAATTTTTCTGGTGTAATTTTTTATTTGGTTTTCGTTTTATTGCGGTCATTTTTCATAACAATTTGTATCAGAGCCCCGGTTCGGATCTGAGAAAGAACGATGACCGGTGACGAAGTGAAGGTTTCAGGGATCGAGAAGTTCGACGGCACGGATTTTGGATACTGGAGGATGCAGATAGAGGATTACCTCTATGAGAAGAAACTTCATCTTCCGCTACAGGGAAAAAGACCTGAAATGATGGATGAGGCTGAATGGGGTTATTCGATTAACCCTATCGAGGTCCGTTGCTCACAATGTCATAGAGGAGAGGACGATGGCAGATCTTATGGCGGCCCTATCAAGTATGTATGAAAAGCCATCGGTGAATACAAGGTGCACTTGATGAAAAAGTTATTCAACCTGAAGATGGTGGAAGGTGTGTCGGTTGTTCAACATTTGAATGATTTCAACACTATTATAAATCAATTATCGTCCGTTGAAATTGATTTTGATGATGAGATACGTGCACTGATATTGTTGGCTTCGTTGCCAAATAGCTGGGAGGCCATGAGGTTGGCAGTTAGCAACTCTACAGGTAAAATTAAACTGAAATATGATGATATTCGTGACTTGATTCTTGCTGAAGAGGTGCGCAGGAAAGACTCTGGCGAGATCTCGGGTTCAAGTTCAGCAATGAATGTTGATTCCAGAGGGAAATCACAAGACAAGAACTCAAACAGAGGAAGGGAGGAAGGTCGAAATCAAAGCATAGAAGCAAGAGCAAGTCAAAGCCTGGTCAGCAAGCAACATGCTGGAATTGTGGCAAAACTAGCCACATAAAAAGAAACTGTAAAAATCCTAAGAAGACGGAGAACGTCAGTGCTAACTCTGTAACTGAAGAAGTGCATGATGCATTATTACTTGCAGCTCATAATTCTGTTGACGACTGGATACTGGACTCGGGGGCTTCTTTTCACACATCTTCTCACCGGGAGTTAATGAGAAACTATGTTTTAGGTGACTTTGGGAAAGTGTACTTGGCTGATGGAGCAGCTTTGAACGTGGTGGGGATGGGAGATGTTGAAATTGCACTCCCTAACAGAAAAAAATGGATGCTGCAAAAGGTTAGACACATTCCTGAACTGAAAAAGAACCTCATATCTGTTGGGCAGCTTGATGAGGATGAGGGAGGTCATTCAGTAGTGTTCTCTGATAATACCTGGAAGGTTACTAAAGGAGCACTGGTACTGGCTCGCGGTAAGAAGACTAATACGCTTTATATGGATATATGACAACTGGTCAAATTAACAATGTTGATACCACAGTTGCAGAGAGCACAGCAGACGTGTGGCATTGCAGACTTGGACACATGAGTCAGAAAGGTATGAAAGAGCTTCAGTCCAGAGGCAAGCTATCAGAACTGAAGTCCGTTGATTTCGGCATGTGTGAAAGTTGTATCATGGGGAAGCAGAAAAAGGTCAGTTTCCTGAAAGGTGAAAGGATGTCAAAGACAGGAAAACTAGAACTGGTACACACCGATGTGTGGGGGTCTTCCCCAGTGGCATCTCTTGGAGGCTCTCGCTATTACGTCACATTCATAGATGACCACAGCAGAAAGGTACGGGTTTACTTTCTGAAGCATAAATCTGATGTATTTTTTGTGTTCAAAACTTGGAAGGCCATGGTTGAAACGGAGACAGATCTAAAACTAAAATGCTTGAGATCTGACAAAGGTGGTGAGTACATCGATGGTGGGTTCAAGGAATACTGTGCAGCTCAAGGTATCAGAATAGAGAAGACTATTCCGGGGACACCACAACAAAATAGAGTTGCAGAACGCATGAATAGGACCATCAATGAGTGTGCTAGGAGCATGAGATTGCACGCAGGACTACCACCAACCTTCTGGGCAGATGCAATCAGCACTGCAGTTTACCTGATCAACAGATGGTCATCTGTCCCATTAGACTGTAAATTATTTGAGGAGGTCTGAAGCGGCAAAGAGGTCAAATTTTCTCATCTTAAAACTTTTGGTTGTCTTTCTTATGTGTTAATCAATGATGATGTACGTAGCAAGCTTGATGCTAAGTCAAAGAAATGTTATTTCATTGGTTATGGAGACGAAGCATTTGGTTATCGTTTCTGGGATGATCAGGAT